ACAAACGGACTAAATTGAATTAAAATTGTGACAACGGATTTAAAATAAGCATTTGTGCACGACACTATGTGGTAAGCCGAAATACTGCATTCATGAAGAAGTGAAAGAGCACATTAAATTCACCTTAAGCTTACTGCAATTCAGTTTGTAATCGCTTTATTACCGTCTGCAGTAGAGAAAAGGAAGTTGAGAAGAGAAAATTGTCTTCTTTTATTACGACACATAGCGCACAGAGTATGATTACCTGGTCCCGGATTTTGATGACATGTCATCTTTTTTTCCTTGTATCCTATGCGATGCTCTTAAATATATAAATCTCGGATATGAGCTACTCGTTAGAGAAATGTAAATTTCATAGGATTTTTTTTTTGTCATTTTTTGACATTGTTAGGTTTAAGGTAATTTTTTGATAATTTTTTGGCCTTTTAAGGATATTTCTTGTCATTTTAGTGATTTTTTCTTCATATGTTTTCTAAAATGTGAATAACATGGAAGCGAAGTGTTTTTTCTTTTCTCCTTTAGGTCATTTTTCTGGATTTTTTCGGTCATAATTAGGTCATTTTTTAAATATTTTCAGGTCATCAAAATCCGGGCCCTGATGATTACATTGGCGGGGAGTAGAGAATGGGTACACACAAGCGCACGCACACAGGTGCGCGCCCTCTTATGTTTATTATGGTTGGGATTATAGTAGCCTAAGTGCCTTATTTTGGGTTTGTTAGTAGTTTGACGTTTGAGATATATTAATTTATTGATTATTCTACTGATATGGTTTTGAATAGTCTCGAATGGGCGTTACCCCTGGGAGTTTTGTGATAGTTCGTAATAGAAGGGCTATTACATACGTTACGATTCATCGTATTAGAGAGTTTTGAATTGTTAGGGCAGTTTATGTAAATTTATTTGATTTTTCCAGTTAATATTTGTGTGAAAGACCTCAAGTAGAGTTGGAGCAAGACGGATGTGACTCCACAGTTTGGAAAATAAAGTTTTTGACCGTTTTTTTATATTTATTTTGATTCTCCATTTATTGATCCAGAATTCCGACATTTTGATGGCATCGTTTGTGTGACATCATGAGTATCCTTGATAGGAAAGTTACCTCATAGAAAATGAAGAAATTAAGGGGGTACACACAGACAAACAGCAGGGTTATCTCATAAGCCTCATATGCCTGAGAAAATATTCCAAGAAAATTATTTTTTCTATAATTTCTGTCTGAAAATTGTGCTGCGGCCTATACACGCACGCGGCCTATACATGCGTAAATACGGTACATTTATTAACATGTTTATAATGTCAAATATTAGTATTCTTTACGTTATGACAAATGAGTTGCTACTGCAGACAATGACTCTGACCAAAGATAGACCCGTTCTCTCGTTAAAGAGGCCGTTCCACATAAACAAGACCGAAACTTTCAAACAGTAATAAATATCTGGCCATAAGCCCCAGATTGTGCTCGACACCAAGACTGACTGACTGTCTGTCAGTCGCAATGTGACTTTGACTTAACCAGGGAGGACTGGGGAGTATTTCAGAGTGTTTAAGTGTTTAAGTGACAGTCACGGAAAGTTCGTCGTTGAAGACGTGGTGTTTGGCTGGAAAACTTGAATTATGTGTAATACTTGGAGTGATTTGAAGCACTAGTTGCTGTGTTGAGATTTATTACCAAGAGAAGGCTATTGTGCACGTAACAATGGATTATGAAGTTTATGTAAATCAGCGGTTAGTGCTGTAATTTAAATATAATTATGAGTGTGTAACCTAGCTGCTAATAAATCGAGTCATCTGAACTAGAACCCGTCATTTCGTCACGCGTACTCCCTACACGTGGCAATACATTCCCGCAACACATATGAACACAACAATAGTACGTCCATTGCTAGGCAACGACTCAATAAACATGTTAAGACGTACTCAACAATAGGAGCGGTGTTTTGTTTGGATCCGTGCTGCGACCCTTGCTAGGCAACAAGCAGTGCTCCAATGGACTGGCTTGGTAGCGATTGCGTGGGAACCGCAACAAACAGGCACGCCACTAGTGATTTGTGAAATTGGAAGATTAGAGATAGGGCTATAGTTCATTGTGATTAGGACTGAATGTAAAAGGAGTTAATAAATCCAATCATTCAATCCAGAATCCGTTGCAGTCTATCATTCGCCCGAGTGAATGGAAGCAGGAGAAGTAATTGTGATACTGCCGATGGTATTAATTGTGAGATTTTAAATTGTGTAAATGTAAGAGCGCGTGGAATGAATTCGCTATATCCAGGACGGCCTGAAGTTATTTGTCGCGTGACATATACCCAACAGGTGACAATTTTTTTATTACCCGAACCAATTTTTATGAGACTTGGTACGTGTATCTTGCCGTCTGAGGCCATCTCAACATTGTAATGCATAACTAGTTCCCATAAGTAATTACAACACTGCAGCCACCCAAATTATATTATTGCTCATGCGAACTAAAGTTTTGTTCCTACTGACTTATTAGATATTAAAATTACAGCGAAAGTAAAGTATGCGAATATTTTCCCCCAGAACCTCTTGTTATGTTAGATGAAGTAGTACGCAGCTGATATAACGTTATTCTGTTGAATCTGGAAGCAATATGCCGCCACATGGGCATCAAATGGTGATATTTGGGCATCCATGGATTAGATTACGTGAGAGCCTGATCCAGGCTTTCACCATATCACGCTCTAGGCTCGCCGTTCTAATTTCACGGTAGCTCAATCACCATTGAAAATGACCCGTGGAAAATTTATCGATGGCTGCGCAAAGAGTGTATGTGTTGATGCCGCTCTTCCGCTAGACACTAGTTCCAGAGGTGAATCCCCGGCGCTTGGCCGCGATAATAAAGCATTCCAGGTTTTTCTCTTGTTTGTTATTGCTGATGCACTCTCTGAAATGGGAGAAATTGAAAGTACAGTAGTATTTCATTCAGTTTATGACCCTACCCCCTAAAATCGACGTTAAGGGTCCCGATATGGTATATCAGTCACCAGGTATTCTGTATCAACAAGTAAACACTGTCAGACTTCAGTTCCCTGAACGGAATGCGATTCGATGATGCACAGGATTCAGCTACGCAGTCATTTGATTAATTGTTTAAGGAGAATTATACGGCTACTCCGCGAAGTATTTTTGATTTGACGACATTCTGCGCTTGGTAGATGACCTATATACATTGTAGATTATAAACATGCCTTCAGATGTGGTATGAAATCAGCTGGTTGCACTGCCGATTGCAATGGCCGCGCGGTCTAAGGCCTCTTCACTCGCTTGAACACTGGGATCATGAGCTCGAATTCCATTCAGGGCATGTATGCCTGTGTATGTGTTGTCCTGTGTGTAGGTAGCTGCCTTGCGATGGGCTGATCCCCCGTCTAAGGAGTCCTATCTACTGTGTAAAAAGTACAGTCTTACTCATAGATAGAAAGCTGTACTGAGAGAAGAACATTTGGTAGTTATATATTGTCATGTGTTGGGTGTGTAACACAACAAATAACTTCACGCCGTCTTGGATATAGTGAATTTATTGCACATTCGCTCTTACACTTATACAATTCACAGTTTCACAATTACTGCCATCTGCAGTATCATAATTACTTCTGCTTCCATTCACTTCAGCGAATGCTAGACTGCAACTGACTGGTCACTCCCTCTCACTGACGAATACTCCTGTTATGTACCTTCCACACTGACAACACAGAAAATAGTTACACGATTGCTTTCACTGTTGCGTGACGTCGTGTTTATCGATTGCCTAGCAACAGTCGCTGCATGGGCTCCCGTTACATGATGCCGTGTTTACAAAGGCGTTGCTGGGCAACGCTGTGTAGCAACCAGCACGCTTCAGCTCAGCTCAGCACGGACGAACACAGCATTTCTTACTGTTGCGTAACCTCGTTTCCACTGTTGCTTTACTTGACAACCGACCGTTTATCAAGGGTCTGTCTTCGTGGTAACTCGTTCCACCTCCCGTTGCCCAGCAGCGGTTAGACATGTCACAATATATATTGTGACGTATTTGCGCTACGCAGAACACACACTCCCCTGCCAGTGGTGACGTAACACTTTCACTGCTACGGTAATAGGCCAGTTCAGATATTTGGGAACAACGATAACAGATCAAAACCTGATTCAGGAGGAAATTAAGAGACAAGTGAACTCAGGTAATGCTTGCTACCATTCAGTCCAGAAGCTTTTGTCTTCTCATCTGTTGTCCAAAAACAAAAATTAGAATATACAAAACTATAAGTTTGCCTGTAGTTCTGTATGGGTGTGAAACTTGGTCTCTGACATTAAGGGAGGAACATAGACTGAGGGTGTTTGAGAACAGGGTGTTGAGGAGAATATTTGGACCAAAGAGAGATGAAGTCACAGGAGGTTGGAGAAAACTGCATAATGAGGAGCTTCATAACTTGTACTCTTCTCCAAGTATAATTAGAATGATGAAGTCAAGGAGGATGAGGTGGGCAGGTCATGTAGCACAAATGGGGAGACGAGGAATGCATATAGGATATTGGTGGGAAAGCCAGAAGGAAAGAAACCATAGGGAAGACCAAGGCATAGGTGGGTGGACAATATTACAATGGATCTTAGAGAGATAGGATGGGATGGTGTGGATTGGGTAGATCTGGCTCAGGACAGGGACCAGTGGAGGGCTCTTGTGAACACGGTAATGAACCTTTGGGTTCCATAAAATGCTGGGAAATTCTTGAGTAGCTGCAGAATTGGCGGCTCCTCCAGAAGGGCTCAGCTCCATAAGTAAGTAAGTAACACAATCACAAATTCAACTAGTTTATACTGGAATCATGCATGACTACAGCTGTAATGGCATCTGTATGAGGATGATATGCAGCATCAGAAGTGGCAGCTGGGAGAACTACCATACAGCAGGTTAACATCTACACATAAGAACTTTATCACTGAAGTCTTTGAAACTTCAGCCATATGCCTGGATACTAGATAACCAGCAATTAAACACAATATATTTCACTGATATAAATTCACTTTAATTCTAAGATTTTAACAAATATTAACAGAAAGTATATACAGAATGAATTACCATCCTGGGGATTTACTCTAACAAATCTGCAAATTTCTCTGCTTCTATACAGGATAGCATAACACTCCACAGTTTGTTCTGAACTTCCTTCGAAGTTGCTTGTGGGCTGACTGCTGTCTCCCGACAGTTGCTGAGGTAAGAACCACCATGACCTTCCACAGCAGGGGCCAAGCAAGCATGAATGATGGTTTCTGCTCCCTGTCCTGGTGTCTGAATATTAAATTCAATATACATTAATTACATACACAGAACATAATATGAATATCAACAATATTCATTTCCAAACATCTGTATTTAATTTTATGTTTCTAACCTGAAGAAATTATCTGCATGAAGTCAGCAAGAAGCAGTGATGCCTTAATTTAAGAAGTTATGCCAATAATTACCTTGAGGAACTGAGAAATGTATAAAAAATCTCAGCTGGTCTTCAGGCAGAGATTTCAATCTGGGCTTCTCAAATATTAAATGGGAGACCTAACCACTGTGATGCCCCATGTTACCTTTTATAGTCAGGAAATTGCTGAAAACATACCTTAAAGAATAAAGGCGGTATCCAAGGAGCAATTATCTTGAGCAATGTTCCATCAAATAAATCAGTGTTCACAATGCCTGGATGAACAGCGTGCACTTGAACTGGAATATTATGGTTTCTCAACTTCGAATCCAGAGACTTGGTAAAAATCACTTGTGCCAGTTTTGATTGTGCATAGCTTGCGCTCGGAATGTAGTCAGTACTGTAATGATGGAATATAAACAGAGTATTTCATTACAACGAAGAACACTTATATTTTGAAATGCTGAATTGTACATCAGTTTAAATATATTGTTACCCTGTTGACAAGTCTTGCAATTACATTTATAGGGATAGCAGCAAAAATTGATAAAATATGGTCTGTATATAAATTGTGAAGAGAATATAAAATTGGCAATGTGTCCTTACTTCCCATTGCTGAATTACTGCATTTCATCTTCATACGGCACCACAGCTTTAATGTAAACCGCTCAAGACTAAAACATTTATATTTCTTAAACAGAAAAACATCTTACACAAGCAGAACAAAAAACCGTTTACCAAATTAACTTCAGCTATAGTAGCACACTAAGACAGAAACATCTTACATGAGCAGAAAAAGAACTGTTTACCAAATTAACTTCAGCTATAGTAGCACACTATCAGGATAGATAGTAACAGAATGCTAAGAATAATATGTTTATCATTTCATGAAATGAAGAAAACTAATACTTTAAAGAATTATAACAGCAATGAATCTTCTTGTACTTTGAAGTGTTTAGCTTCTTTTGTCCAGGCTATACAATAACTAATTTATGACTTATATTTCTCCTATTTGCTACTGTGCTGTTGAGTGTAGATGCCAGCATGTACTGTTTAACTATGATTATGCCATGTCTTAACACTTGGATAAGCATATACACTTTTCATGATCTCCAATTTGTTATGGATTTATGATTTGTATTTGATACTTCTCTTTGCTTGTGTATCTCTGTACCGTGAGATAAACAAACCCCTAAAATTAGCATTCAGATGCTCTAATATAAGTTTCAACTTATACGAGGGTTGGGACTTTAATAGTGGCAACTATTTATGTACAACTGATACAAAATAGAGGCATGTTTCGAAGTTTTACTGTCTTTCAATGTAGTCACCAGCATTGTGTACAACCCGCTGCCAGCGATGTGGAAGTCATAGGATACCTTTAGCAGCGCCTGTTGTGTTGATAGTTTGAATGGAGCGGTCTACAGCCTGAAGAATCTCTGTAACAGTTCTGAAGCGAATTCCACGAAGTGGTTCCTTCATCTTAGGAATTAAGTCGAAGTCACAAGGACTTAATTCCGGGAAGTATGGTGGATGGTACAGCACTTCCCAGCCCCATCTATCAAACAAATCAGCCACAGCTTGACATTTCTGCATTTCCATCAATCATGCGGAACCCATCGTGATGCAATTTTTCTCATACCCAGGCATTCCTTCAGAATGTGAAGCACAGTCATATGCGCTAATCCTGTCTCTCAGGCCAGCTCACAAATCATATGGCATTGATCACTCTCCAGTAAAGCGGAAAGAGCATGCACTTCTTCACTGACACTAGGACGACCTGGCCGACGCATGTCTGCCACAGTTTGGCGTCTGTTGTTGAAGGCTTTTACCCACCTTGCCACTGTTCTGTAAGGCAATGCAGATTCCCTGCAAGCCTCTTGAAGACCTTGATGACACTGTTGTGCTGTACAGCCTCTGGCACATTCAATCTTTATCCAACTCCGTTGTTCATGTTTCAAAAACATCGTGACAACACTCCATTAGACCACCAGCTAACACGAGGCTCTGTTCTTGTCATTGCGCATGCACGTGATGTGGGAAAGGAGAGTCCATTTGCTCTGAGGTAAGGTAGGTATGTAACTAACGTGTGGTATAAGCAACATTATTTAGTTCCATTGCATGGCATCTCTACAGCAGTGTTGCCACTATTAAAGTTCCAACCTTCATAAAATCTTCTAAACTGCCAGTGGCTCCAACATAATTTTCATCACAAAAAAAAAAATAATAATAATAAAAATTAGGAAACTTAAGTAGGTGGTGAAACCTTCTCCCAATGAACACCTCCAAAAATTTATGTTTTCAGAACATTGTTCCTGAAAAAGCAGCTGTTGCTTACTGGCTTCTGGTGAAGTTTCTGTCAAAAGGAAACTTAATAACTTCTTTAATTCATCCCTGATTATGTCATTCCAGTGACAGACCCCACATCTTAGTTTTACATTAAGCATGTTTTCTAGAAATTCCAGGGGACAGAAGTTTGTTTGTCTGCTTATTAGTTCAGAAATTTCAGATGTAATAAACAAAGAAAAATATTACAGTGGGCTACTGAGATTATCTAAATCAACGCTTCAACCAGGCTTGCCAGTAAAAGGAAAACACAGCCACTCAGCTTCTAACTTTGTTTACCTTTGTATACTTTGGTCAGTTTTCTAATCTATATCTGCTGGGAGAGTGGAACAATAGTCTTAACCCTAAGCAACTTAGGACAAAATAACATTTCGTTACTGAAACCAATATTTATGACAGACCAGGCTAATGTGTAATTCATTCCAGTTTTTTTTTCTTCTACCTTGAAGATGGAGATGATAATCTCTATAAAACACAGGAAGATTCTCCAACCCAAAAGATATAAACTCACAATTTCACTGCAGTTAAACCTGAACATGCAGATTAATACACTGATGTTACCTACCTCATAGACAAGTCTTTGAAGTTAATTGAACCAGCTAAATGAGCACAGGAGGATACATTCACTATTCGACAATTAGTTTCCTTCTCTTTAGCAGTGTCTATCATATGTGGCAGCAACAGATGTGTTAGCAAACAATGTCCCAAGTAATTTACAGCAAAATGGGATTCAAATCCATCTTCGCTCTTGGCATATGGCACAAACATTATTCCAGCTGAAAAAAAAATTGTTTTATACACAAGAAAATCAAACTCTAACATACTGCTTCATATTCCACAAAGATACAGCCACAATATTTAAAGTTTACAGTTCTGCTGTTAATTTGGATGATTTGTAACAAGAAATTTTTAAAAGTATTTATGAATTTCCATTAAATTCACAGATCACTGGGATGTGGTGCCATGTAGTCTGGTAAATACTATTATTTTTAAGGAACTTGCTGTTTCCATCTGCAGGGTAGAAGAATAAATCGCACAGAAAATAAGGGTATATGTAGAGGAAAAAAAATGGGACTGGGCCAATGGAAGGAGGTAGCCTTCAGATGCAGAGATCCAAAATACTGAGGGGAAAGAGGCAAGCAAAATGTTTTGTGCCAGAAAAGAGGAGATAAATTATTTCTTGTACCCTGAAAATGGAGGCAGCAGGATCCTCAGAAACACTGGTAACTTTACACTTGTTTAAAAAGCATTATATACCAGAAGACCTTCATATTTATCTGCTTTGGAACATCTGACAGTGTCAGTAGCTAGATGATACAACATCAAATGGTAGGATGATAGATAAATGACAAATTTGAAAGGATTGGAAGGAAGCAGCCATGGCCAAATCGAGGTAGTATGCCAGCACTTGCCTGGAAGGACTGCAAAGAACTGCAAAAAATCTCATAGCCAGTGTCCCGTCTGATAATCAACTTCAGCAAACCCCAAATACAGGTCTAGAGCTATGCCAACCAAGTTCAGAGAACAGCAGTTTTATGCTATTTATGCTATGCATGTGGTTACTTCCTACCTCGTGGCAGAGGTAGATACAGCAATATGGGCCTCAAATCTCTTAACGCAAAATTAGAAATAACCACACATGTAATATAAGAAGAATTATAACAACCATAACTGGGCCCCTCTGTTTGTCACGTGATTAGTGTACCAACCTAATATTCAAACATTCTGGGTTTAATCCAAACCTGCTGAATTAATCTCAAAACAACAACAACAACAATCTGCCAGTATAAAGGCAACTAATCACTCCCAAAATGTTGTACGTACCTTACACAATGGACAATGTTCTACGTACCTTACACAATGGACAATGTTCCATACAGATTCAGTACGAAAGTTCATATATTAAAAAAAACACTTATGCTTATAATTCAAGGTAATTCATTTAATGAGAAAAACAGACTGGACTCTGCTGTTTTTTAACCTTTAAACGACTAAAGACCCCATATGGGGTCGCAGAAATAAAGTCAGCGGTACGAATGACCCCATATGGGGTCGCACAGTCCGCGCGTGCGGACGTTATTTGAAATACATTTTTAAGGTAGAAAATAATGTCCTACTTATATAATTTTTGGCCACCATCTGCATGGAGTGTCTGTCTTCCCACCTGCGTCATCTGCCGGAATGTTAGCTTCGTGTGGAATTCTAAAAAAATTCCAGAAATGCAGAGTCCGATTTCGCACTTCACGCACTTTGTTCGGACGATCTTTCGTTTCCCACCGAAAAGCACACATGACACCTCAATTGCCAAGTGGAGGAAGTCGGCCAGTGATGTGGTTTGTCTTCTATAATCGAGATATCTCCGACAAAACGGCAGGGGTTCGACTCCTGGTCGCACAGTCCGCGCGTGC